TGGAAAAACACATGTTCGATTGAAAAGAAAATGTAAGTTACTTTCCGAATTGTTGTGCAAGGAATTCGAGTCAGTCATGCGCCTCAAGCAGTAGCTTATCAAATGTAATACGTTACCCCACAGTACGAAATCCCATTGACCACGCTGTTCGAACCCAAGTTGTTGGGAAGTGTTTTATGGGGGAGGGACTGCATTTGCTGTGAAGTACTTTACAAATGATTTGTAAAGTAATTGTAAATGGTTTTCTTGTGCTGAAGTGCCTGCGAAATGACTTCGTCGATTATTTTGTGTACTTTTACATAATGAAGCACGTCCGCTGCGAAAATTGATGTTCGGATTATGAAGTGTATACATCAGTGTAATGTTGTGCTGTTTCCATCAGTTCCAGAAGTACAAGAAGAATTTCGGAAGTATTCCTGGAATAATTTTTACTGCTGTTGTGAGGTGTTCAAATTAATTTTTTTTATATGTGGCCTTGGTTTTTATATGTCCCCAATGCAAGCAAAATTCCGAGAATCACTCCTTCTCAGAAGTATCCGTTTCATGTCGTCCATCTTGAGCATCAATCACGAAAAGCTGCCGCATTTGTCTGGTTTTCTCGCGTGTATTTAATGTTCTTGGAAGTACCGTAATCTTCGGAGCGGTCCTTCCTATCTTCCTATCTTGAGGAATCAAGATAGGAAGATTATAGGGATTAATTTTCGACTTTTTAGCTTTTGCATTCGTGCGAGAGAAAGGTTGGTTCTCATCCGCACTTGATAATATGAATGTACAGGAAATGCAAGATAATCTGGGTACTGATTTCTCGGGATATTTGGAATCAGCGAAAAGGAATGACGCGTTTTGTCCTATGAACTTGTCTCCAAGGGGTAGTTTACAATTTTTGCTTTCTGAATTTGGAATCCCTTCGAAAACCGTGTTGAGTCATGGGGGAGCCTCTTTTGCTTCCTTCCTTTTCCTTAATCAATGCTTAATTTAAAAAACAAGGTGAAAGTGCTATCACATCGGTAAGCCCAGTACATTACTGTGAAACAATCTCGGAAGAAAATTATCGTCTGTATTTGGCATCAAATTTTCGATTCCGTCGTTCCGCTATGAGTGCGTTTTTGGTGAGACTGGATTATGGGTTTCAAGACCTTCGATACATGGAATTGGAGCGAAATTTCGCTCCGAATCGTGGCTCACAGAGATGCGAAAAAAATCAGAAAAAGACGACCATTTCATGTTATTTCGAACTATACGGAGAATATGGCGTCGATGAGAGGAAGCGCCTTCGGTTGCGTGAGTTTAACTCTCCATTGTAGCTTTTATTTTCGCTTTTCTATTCTCCATTTCCACCTTTTTTTTTCTTTTTTTTTTTTAGGTGTACACAAAGAGGAAAATGGGGTGAAACTTGGAGCTGCTTGCAAGAGGCGTAGCCGAAAGGTGGAGAAAATATTCTCGATCGAGGAGCATACCTCTGATATTCCGCTGGTTTTTGATCGGTAAAAACCGAAAGCCCCCCATTTTTCACACAATATGGATAAGAGTTACATAACCCCCCTCCCCCTTTTTTTTCAGAAGTATGAATGAGAGTTCCAAGGGGGCTTTTGGACGGCAACCGTCGGAAGTTCATGCTAGATTCACGTAGAACCCTTCTTTCTTTCCTGAACGTGAAAATTAAGAAATTTATCGAAGTGGTTAAACTGCCTTGCATGCTTCCATGCACTGTATGGATATGAGCTTCTATTGGTCTAATGCAACATTCAGAAAGAACTTGTAAAAAAATTATCCGTAAGGACATTTATTAAGTAAGCAAAATTGTTCGTCTTATGAATCATTGCACGCTGTTACTTGCAGGTATGTTCAGAAGCTTACCGTAGAGTTCAGCTTGGAGGAGGAACTTGTGGAAGATCACGTGCCGTTTCAAATTTGGCTACCATTTTTCAAACATGATTGGAGTATACTGAAGATCCTGGAAATTAAAACTTTTGACGCCGATTTTTTTATTAATGATATACGGCCCAAATTCTTGATGGGATGTAGCAAAGCGTTTACGCACCTGGAGACACTTTCTGTGCGTTGTCTCAGTTTTGGTAACGAGCTTCTTCAACATGCTTTCCGACGCAAAGGTGAGAGTGTTGGCTACTGAACAAGTATGAATATTTCGTTCGTTTGGACGCTCTGTTGAATCCACTGCTATAGATATACTAAAGCAGTTGATTCAACAGTATAGCAGTTGCTATATTGAACTTATATGTTGTGCTGCAATATTTAATGACTCATCGTATTTTCCCTCGAATATCTGTCATATATGTTCCAGAACGTTTCGAGGCTTGGAATCTGTTCGCATTTGACATTCAGCATCTTCAGTTGAGTTTCATGAAAAAATTATCCTTTATGATCAAGTTGAAGCCTTGCCTTTGCGAGGTATTTCCGCAGATTTGAACGTTGAAAAAATTATGAAACCTACACCATTTGCAAATGTGAGGTTTTTTGTTTTGTCCGTAAGATAAGTGCAGTACTTGGAATTTGTAATGGTGTGGAGGTCGGGGTTTCCGCTGTATTTTTTGGAGCTTCCCGTCTCATCCAGTCTCCTTTTTTGCTCCTCGACTCATTCGCAGGAAGTGAAGCAGATTCTTCGAGCTGTGAGGACGTTCAAGCGACTCAAGAATCTGGTGTTGGTGTTGAGCAAGCCAATGATGGGGGGCGGAGATTACCTGGCTGATCAGAGCTGCTTTCTGACAATAATCGAAAAATACTTCGGCCCGGAAAGTAGCTTGAAGCAAGCGACGATCATTCGTGAGTTGCAGGAAGGATACGGTCACTATCAGCTTAACTACAGCACTGAACTGCGAAGGACCGCATTGTTCTCGTACTCGTTTTTGACGAGATTTTATATCAGATGGTTCCAGCATGTGCCCACCAGGTTAGCGCAGGGTGACCTTGGGGTATTCGAGGGAATTTTATCCAACTTCTGTCGAGCGCCATTTTATCATTGATCAATCCCAATGCCTCGCACTACTTTCTTTAGATTAATTTCCTCGACTTCATTTTCTAAAATTTTGCGATGAGTTGCTTTGAAGACTTTGTGTGCATTAACCATGTTGATATTTTCGAAATTATCGCAGTGAAACCGGAGTTCATGATGAGTACACTACAGGGTGATTTTTTTTTCGGCAGAAATGCATTTGATGGCTTTTTTTCCAACATCCACGAGTATTATCATCTATACTACAGATGCGCAGTGTGTTTAAATCTTGTATTCCTCATTTTTAGGTTAATCTAGCGGTCGAGGGAAATTCACGAAATAAGTGATACAGTAGTTTACGAAGGTGTGAATGGTGAAACTACAGTAAGCGGTACTGTACTGGCGTCAATTGATAGGTGGACCAGTTACAGAGGATGTCGCGGAAAACGATAAGGTTGTGTGAACGTTGTCCAATATAAATCTATGGAAGTATAATTGCCGCACTCGGGAAAATATACGGGGCAAGGAAAGATTGATGGTATTCAAATGTGAACCGGTTTTATGGTTGGTCTGGTCTTTTCAGCAACACTAGAATCAGGAGCAGCACCGTTCCTGCTTTGAAGTGGGCCATTGGGTAGAGAACTTGGCAATGAAAGTATTGTACAGTATTTGATTCCATTGTACGACAATTTTGTACAGTTCAATTTTCATGAAGTTGCTCATATACCGTCGTTTAAATCGTCGTCAGTACAAATCTGAGGTCTCGAGGGTAGTCCTAATTTGGCATATGAGTGCCATTTGTGCTGAAATATTCGTCGTACATTGTGAGCAGCGCCAGTGTTGTTGTGTCCGAATATTCATTACAAGTAAAAAGTGGTCGAGATTACGGGATACCGTAGTTTCTTCCCGGGAAGCAGATGAACTGCGTCAACAGTCCCTCTATTGTCTAGGCAGCAGAAAAAAGTTCACTGACGGCCGATCACTTCAGTCGGGCTGAGAGAATGGCGGAGAAACGTGGAAGGAAGAATGTTTAATTTTACCGTTGAAATGCGCGAAGTCAATGAATACCATACATGTTCCACACTTCCGCCAATATAAATTACCCCCAGGGAGCCCGACTGTTCGCGTCAATCATGTCGCCTGCGAAAACAAAATGGCCACCCTCTCTTAGCTGACGCCGCGTATGAGCATGCTGTATAACAGTCGAGTGATCCGTAACGTTTTTCTGTTCCCGGTGCGCCCTGTCGAAAGGCTTCATCATTCGAGTGCGTATTCTTTTTATGGTGCAATCGGATCTCCGATTTTTCGTTTTTCTCCATGTTTGAAGTGAATTTGTGAGCTGGTGGCGGTTTTTTTTTTAACCTCCCATATTTCGCCCGCGCGAGCCCTTCCTTACGAACTGCGTGTGACCACCTGCTGCTCTTCGTTGGATAAATTCATTCACGTCCGTGACGCGAACATTTCAAAGGCGATTGTGAGTGATTTTGAGACGATTGATGAAAAGCTACTGAGTAGTGTGAAGTAATACTGCTGTAAAATAATTATAGTTTCGCCGTGTCAGTGGCCTGCTGCGATAGGACACTCTCCGAGTTGAGCTTAATATAGGTCACGTATTTTGGGAATGGATGATGTTGAGCCATTATGACAATTCATTTCAGAAACATGCATCTCACGGAAAGGAAAATATTTTAGAGAACTATGCACGCTTTACAGTACTTCAATTTTACATATATTAAAAATAATAACAGGTTTTGACTTTGGCGTGCAAACTTCAAAGGTGCAGTATTTACTCTTGGATGCTTTTGCGTTGGAATATTCTCGCGCAATGCTTGAATTTTCAGTTCGGAACTTCGATAATTTGTATCGAATCGCATTTAAACATTGTTTCATCGAGCGAAGTCCGCATTCATTGAAGAATGGGCATAGACACAAATATGAGGCGGCATCAGCGTTTACAAAGACAATCACTTGAAGAAAGTGTATCCTTTCTGGTCATATTTAGCCAAGAAGCCGCGGTACAGTATATTTGTCTAATGGGCTACATGTGAACTTCAATGCGGGTTCCGATTTACTGAGAAGTTATCTGAAATAAGTTCGCAAAACTTATCGTTTTCCCAATGAGCGCGTTTCTGGTGAGACTCGATTATGGTCTTCGCGATCTCCAATACATGGAATTGGAGCGAAGTGGTCGAATTGACGGGTGTTCAAACGGATACGAGAAGAATCCGAGGATAACCGTCGCATGTTATGTTGAACGCTCGGAAAGAGAGGGAATTAATGCGAGAACGCGGTTTCGGCTGCGTAAGTCACTTCATCTTCCTTTTTTTTCGCTTTATTCGAACGTTTCTTGTTTTTAGATGTCCACAAAAAGGCAAATGGGGCAAAAATTGGAACACCCTGTACGAAGCATCTTAGCTTGGAGAAAATCTTCTCCATTGAAGAGGATCCAAGTGGATCATTCGTACTAACCCCGGTTCCAACACTGGAACATCGCTTCAGCTTCTTGATATGCATCAATGGTGATGTTCTGGATTCTGATGTGAAACCCGTGTGTGTTTTAAAGCATGGAGATGTCATCGAGGGCAAGTTCCCTAAAATTCGTGAGTCTTTTTGTGGTCATTCTGAGCGGGTTGATTCATCAAAAATATTCCTTGGAATCAAGTTTTTCAAGTATTGAAGCATCCTTACTGAACTCCCTTTATTCTTTGAGTGAAGTGCATGACTCACAGGACGATTTGTCTTCATTCGCTGAGGATTACCTTCAATTGTCCTCCCGATTGGAGCAGCTTATTGTGTTCACCAGTGACCTGTGCATTCCGTAAGCTCCACTTCCTAAAGAATCGGGAAAGAAGTTCAGGAAATCTTCCAACTCTGCGTCCATCTAGATATCTTATTCTGTGAATAAAGGATAATGATATAATGTATGGCAGTGCATCGCGAACGAGTTTCTTTCGTAAACTGCAGGATCCTAATGCATAGATAAGAACTGCTTTTCTCGAAGCGTCGTGTGCTAGGACCACCCATGCATTCGATTGATTGGTATGAATCAATTATGTATAACATATCTGCTCAGTGGATAAAGACTGCATTGATTTCTTGGAATTCTGTACTAGAGATTACTTGATGAGCGAATTCCAACAGTGCTCCTGCTGGGTGAACGTTTGGACGCTATGATACTAACTGTTGCGGACATGATCACGCGTTTCAGAATAATGAGATTTATGATAACTCGTGATTTATTTCGTAAGTGACGATGAATGAGTGAGTCATTCCCTGATTTCGTGTTGCAGCTTGCTTCCGGATCATGTTCTTCCTGAGTGATGAGCGTCGCAAAGAACAGCGATCCCATCAGCATTCGCCTCTCCTTTCGTGTCCTAGACGCGTTCTCAAAAATATCATGAAGTATTTGACTCCATTTGAAGCGATGGCGAATGTTGTCCCAGTTTGTCGGGAGTTTTTTATGACCATGAGGAACGGAAGAATTTGGACACATCTCGAATTCCGTGTTCTCTTTGGGGTCACAAGTGTTCCATTTGGACACATGCTCGACTTCTG